GCAGTGCCGGGCAGGAGGCAGAGGGGGTGGAGCACGATGGGAAAGGCTCCCGAAGCACCTAGTTCCATCCTAGGGCACCCGCAGGCACTGTCCCCCCGGAGTCCACGGATGCCTGGGCACCCGAGCAGCGGCCACCACGCATTCCCGAGCTTCCCAGTCACACTGCCGCCCGGGTGCTCCCAAGTGCACACGGAACCAGAGCGCAGGTCTGGAAGCACCTAACTTCACTGGGGTCAAGCTTTATTCAAGGGGACACGCTGGGCTTTCATAATCGCAGTAGCTCGGCAAAGTAGCACTTTATCTGTATTTTCATAGCTGCAGCAGCATGTGCAATAAACTCATGTTACACAGCGGCTCAGTGTGAGTTGAAATTTAAATAGTTCCTCCGAGATAGGGTCTACCCCCGGGCCGCTGTTCTGTCGAGTGCACGAGACGGGACCTGTGCACGATGCCGGAGGTAAGACAACCCTGGGAAGCGGCCCAGCCACGCGGGCGCGGAGGCAGACTGGCAGGTGTCTGCAGCCCTGCGTCCAGGCCGGAAGCACTCTTGCCCTCACCACCTCAGCAACACGAACTTCGCTTAAAGGAAAGGCGGAGAACGACGTGAAAACGCTCACCGTGATTACCTGACAAGATGCCATCTTCACGGGGACCTCCTGTGTCCGTTGACATGCATAACTTTCACAAGCATGAAACATCTCCTCGGTTTGTAATGCTAGTTCAGTTCCTCTGCTTAAAATAGCTGCCGTTCTAAGTTCTGTGGATAAACTGCAAACCAGTTCAAATCCCTGGACCGCAACAGTTGACTGGTGAGTAAGCTCCGGCGGGTAAAAGCAACCCGAAGCTGCCAACAAAGCCACAGCCCGAGGGCAAGTGCGGCCACGGAGCTGGGCAGCGCAGCAGGGCCACTGAAGACGGGACCGGAAAAGCAAGGGGGACCCTCGGATGCCACGCCAGGAATTCGAACCAAACTCTGCAACGGCAGAGCTACCTGACCGCTGGAGAGCCATGCTGGAGAGCCATGCATACGTTGTCGCTGCAGAATGCAGACTAGAGGGGGATCAAGTCAGGGAGAGCAGCAGGAAAGGGTCTGCAACGTCCAGGCGAGAGTTCAGTTCTGCTCAAACCTTTATTGAACCCTGACAAGTATGACAAGGTTTTGGTCCCAAGAGCACAGTTTGGAGGGCAGGTGACCCAGGGGATCTGGCAATGATGGTGAAGGTTAGAAAGAGAATAGTGGCTAAAGATGACCAGAAAGAACAGATTCAAAAGATGATTTCAGGCACAGAAAAATCAGACATGGCAACGGGTCAGACTCGGCCTCGAGGGCAGGGCTGGAGTCAAGGACGCCTCCCAGGTTTCCAGCCAAGGCCTGATGGCTTCACCGACACGGAGCACAAGCGCGGGGAGCTCACACCACCTGCTACCCCCTCTCCCAGACACATCACAGACGCGTTAATAAGGCCCCCAGAGGACAGGCATTATCACGAGCCTCGCCTACTGGGCGTGCATCTGCAGGGGAAAAGGTGACTGTCAGAAGAGCACATGGAGGCACAGCATCTCACTCAAAAAATGTCCTAAACGAATGGTCAATGAATAAACGATAGATGTGCTTCTAATTAAAAACAGCCAAAGGAAAAAAAATACCGTGACACATCCCAAGTGCGAGAAATGTTGCGCCGATTTACTCTCCATTCTTAACTTTCGGAGACGACGCGATAGCTCAGTTACTGTTCGAATGTACGGAAAGCAGTGTCAGCAGGACTCAGGACCTTCCTGGAGAGGACGGAGCCTCTGGAAGTCTGGCAGCACAGCGAAGGGGCCGTGCCCGCCTGCACACCACCCCGTGAGCCATTCCAGTGGGATCTTGTAGAACTGCAAGGATTTCTATAAAAAGACTCCCTAGTCCCTTCTGTCCCAGGATATTAAACACATGGATCGACATTTTAATTAAAGCGAGAGGAACACCTCTTTAAAGAGGCAGTTTTAAAAAAATTAATGATTTCATGGAGAAAGACATACTTGATAACCTAAGTGGTTGCTTAACATAAAAAATATGGATATACTTTCAAAATCATTATTTCCATCCCCAATTTATATCACTTTGAAGGTTTTGACAAGAATTGGATAAAGTCTCAGTCATACGTTATAAAGGGGATATTTTTTTTTTTTTATCCTCACCCGAGGACATTTTTGCATTTTTTGTTCAGACAGAGCGGGAGGGAGAGAGAGGAAGAGAGAGAGAGAGAAACATCGATGTGAAGGGACACATCAAGTGGTTGCCACCCACACGACCAACCAGGGCCGGGGACAAACTGCAACCGAGGTACGTGCCCTTAGTGGGGGCGAACCCGGGTCTCTCCGGACCGCAGGTCGACGCTCCAACCGCTGAGCCAAACCGGCCAGGGCTAAAGGGGATTTTTAATGATAACTTTACTTCATAAGAACAGTATAGCCCTGTTTGGCTCAGCGGTTAGAGCATCGGCCTGCGGTCCAGAGAGACCCGGGTTCGGTTCCTACTAAGGGCACGTACCTCGGTTGTGGTTTGTCCCCAGCCTTGGTTGGGTCATGTGGGAGGCAGCCACTCGATGTGTCCCTTTCACGTCGATGTTTCTCTCTCTCTCCTTCCCAAGCTAGCTGAACAAAAAGTGGAAAAATGTCCTTGGGTGAGGATTAAAAGAAAAGAACAGAATAAAAACCCACCACTAAACTGTCCCACTGACTGCTACAAATTAGTGAGAACTCGGAGCAGTTTTGAGCCAGAGAGAGAATATTTTTAATGTTACAGATGCTGCAAATTTACTGCTTCTCAATACTTTTGTTGAAAACAAATTGGAACCTGCCCTGGCTGGTTTGGTTCAGAGGTTAGAACATGGGCCGGTGGACCAGAGAGACCCGGGTTCAGTTTCCCCTGGGGGCGCGTACCTTGGTTGCAGTTTGTCCCTGGCCCCCGGGTCGTGTGGGTGTCAACCAGTCGATGTTTCTCTCTCTCTTCCTCCCTCTCTCCCTCCTGCTCTATCTGAAGATAAATGCAAAAATGTCCTCAAGTGAGGATTAAAAAAAAACATAAATTGGAACCTAAAATGAAGATTTCTAGTTACTCAATTCTATCTACTAATCATTTAAACATTGGTCCTAGATTGGTGAGGAGATGGGGAAAGGGACACTTATATATTACTGGTTGGAAGGTACATTGATACCTTTCAAGAGGAAGATCTGACACCTACCAGAATTTTTTAACATGTGTAACCTTTGACCTAGCAACTTGTTAAGAAATTCATACCCAGTGGCCTAGAATACGCATATCAAGCTACATCATTACTGAAGCACTCAGGTCCCACCATAAGCTCACAAACGGGATCGGCTCAAGCATGGTGCTCCCATGTCATGTAGTACGGGGAGCACAGTCCTTTAGGAGACGGGGACAACAGTCTACAACAGATCACTGGGAGAAACAAGACTGTAGTATTCTGATCTGATACAGAACGGTCCCTTTTCATTTTTAAAAATTCAAAACCATTGTGGTGTGTGCCTTAGGAACATGTCAACAAGAACACACACCAAACCGTAGTTGACACTTGTGACTTTGGGATTGTGTGGTGGAGGAACGTTCTTTTCTTTTTTTACCTTCCACACTTCTGAATGGTTTGAAATGTTTACAATAAAAATTTTTATAGTTTAAAAATAACTAGTGATGTCTTGTTCCTCAGTGCTTCTGAAAGGCATACCTATTTCCTTCCTTAGGAGATAATCTGCGAGATAGATTCATCAGAGATTCCATCTGTAGACTGTAAACTGATAGCCCTCTGGGACTTGTGGAGAATCTGCAAAATGTTAAGCCTGTTACCATTATATTAATAGCCGACTGTATGGCCACCCCAGGGATGAACTGTCTAGGATGTGGGTACAACCCAACATTTAACTCAGGAATCCACAAAGATTTTCTTGGTAGAGGTACTGAATTATTGCAGGGCCAGGTAGTTCCATTGATGGGAAGTAACTGCACTTCATCCCTGCACTGTTCAGATAAAAAATTAAGACTAAATATCAGTTTAATCCAGAAAGCAGTAACAACGAAAGGACAAAACACCCTCAACAAGGGTTGAGAACCAAATTTAAGCCCCAAACCATGTCCATCATAAAAATATAACTTGCTGTGCTAAATTACCTATCGGGGCCAAGAAGATAATGATTAAAGATCTCCCAGGCTCCACACTCAATCCTGAACACCTGGGGGAAGGGAGGCAAAGAAATCCGGGCAGGGGATGGACCAAAGGTAAAAGAATGGGGTCAGGAATTCTAAACACAACCCCCTGCAGCTTCCCAAGGCTGGGTTTTGATCTCACCGAGGATCAGAGTCCGGTAGAGAGAGCCAAAGTAGCTGTGACATTCATGACCACCTCGCAGCGTGCAGTGACCACTTCTTTTCTTTCTCTAAGGGCTCCGCCTGGGAAGACCTCCCGGGCTCCACATTCAATCCTGAACACCTGGGGCCCTCAACAGGCGACCGGGTAGGCTGGGAGGGGCGCGCACACCCTCCACGGCCGCTCCAGCCAGCAACTGGGCATATCTGCAGACCCGACAGCAGGGACCAGTCTGCAACTGGAAATCGGCCCGAACCCCAATAAAACGTATCTCCCGAGGCCAAACCGAGCAAACCGAAGCGGGGACAGGTTACCCGCCAAGAAAAAGAGGGGCTGATCCCAGCGTGATGACTGCACACGAGCGAACCCGAGTTGACCCACACCCACTCAGCAGCCGGGAGCTCCAAACGCCCCTGGCTGCCCGAAGGCCGGGCCATCCATTTTTCTCGTCCCTCCCCAGACAGCAGCACCAACGAGCCGCCTCCGACCCACCGGTACCTCTGAGCTCCGCCCGTGGCCCCTCCCGCCCAGGTGGCCCCAGAGCGGGCAGACTCGTGGGGTCCGCCCGGCGGCCAGCTGCACGCTGGTCCGAGACCAAGACGCAGATCACCTGCACCTCGGGGGCACCGTACTCACCCTCGCTACTGACAAGCCCGGCTCCGCCGCGATCGCGGTCACCGTCCTCCTCCCCTCCCGGAGCAGCCTCCTGGGTCCTGGGAGCAGCCATTACGCCGCGGAGAGGAAAAGGGAGGGCCGGGGGGCGGAGCGGGTGCGGACAGGAACCAATCAAACGCGACTGGAGGCGCACTCCCCGTCAACGCGCCGTTTCCTCCACGCCCACGTCGTGCTGTCACGCTCTGGACCAATAGGACGTAGCGAACGAAGCCTAATCCCCGCCCTCAGCAGCTCAAGCCTCGCCCCCTTCCATGATGGTGCGGCCCAGAACTACAGTTCCCAGGGTGCCTCGGGGGCTCTGGGCGGGGAGGGCTGGAGCGGGCGCTGGCGGGCGGGGGTGCGCCGGAGAGTGCCCCGGCGTGTTCGCTTAGTTCAGTGAATCAGAACAATGACTGCGCCGCCGGGTCCCCGGGAGCGCGTCGGAGGACTGTGAGCAGCCGCCGCCGGCACAGCGGCGGGCGGCGCAGCCTGGGCCGCGCGGTGTCAACCCGGGCTCGGGAGCCTGCAGCGCAGCCCAGCGCCCGCCGCCCGCGCGGAGTCGCCGGGCTCCAGCGCTGCAGCCGCTCTTCGGCAGCTGTGCATTGTTGTGAGCTGGAGAAGGGGCGCGGGGAGTAGCAGCCCGAAGCCCCGGGAGCCCTCGTTAGCCATGTGGATACCTACGGAGCACGAGAAATACGGCGTGGGTGAGTCTCCGCGGGGCCAACTTCCATTCCGCTCGGGCCGAGCGGGTGCGCATTTCGCGTCCTTGCCCCCGCGCCCCTCGCGCTCTGCCCGCTGCAAACGCCTCTTGCTCGCATCGCGCTGCGGGCTCGGGCTTGGGGGAGCCAGCCCCCGGCCGAGGGGTGCGCGCCAGCGTCTCGCTCCCCACCGCCCTCTGGGGCTCCGGCGCCAGGGACGGCCGGGGGTAGCGCGCGGCCAGCTGCCCGCTGCGGGCTCTGCCTGCGGAGTTTGGAGCGGCGACGGGGCGTGTGTGTCAAGTTGGAAGAGGAGGGTGGACGGCGTTCCTCTTCTTCCTTCCCCTTCTTCCCCACCACCGCTGCGGGCTGTGACGATTTCCCAGATTGGAAAGGGAGACAAGAACCGCCGCGCGGAGAGAACACCCCCAAAACAGAAGGGAGGCGCAAAGCTTCCCTGTGGCTCCGGTCAACGTCCCCGGGGAATGTGGCCCCGCGCTCTAGAGCCGCTGTGACAGCCGGAGCCCGGCCGGAGCCTCCCCCTCCTCCTCCCTCCCGTCCCGGGTTCAGGGGACTGTGTCCGAGAGGCAGGGCGCTGGTACATGTCAGCATCTGCGCGGCTCCGCTCTTTGCTCTTTGAAGGGGAACGGGTATTTCAGCGACGTTTTTACTTCTGGCCCCCTCTGGCCCGGGCGAGCGCGGTGGGGGTGGTGATGGGGGACAGCTGTGGAGCGGTGCTGGGGACCGGGCTCGGAAAGCCTGGGTCTTCCCGCAAGGACACCGCTTTCAGGACGGGATTACCCAGACACCCGCGTTCGCTGCGAGAGGAGCCGGGCAGCGCGCGCTGCTCTGTGCAAAGGTGAACAAACAACAAAGGACATTAATGTTGACGGATGAACACCGGAGTCTCCCTTCCTTTCCCTCCTCCCATTTCGGGCCGATTACAGTTCCCGTTTTTGTTGTTTGGTTTCAGCTGGGTCGCCCCTTGACAGTTACTCCTTTTAGGGTTGTGACGATTATAGCAAGCCGGGCTCTCTGACAAGCCCGCAGCAGCCAAAGGCAATTAGAACGTCTCAGAAGATTTCACAGAGAGAGAGCATTATGGATTTTACCAAGGATGTTTATTGCTTATAACGCCCGTCCTGCAGATGGGCGCACTTTTTTTTTTTTTTTTTTTTTTAATTGGCTATGGTCGGATCTAGTGATTTAGAAGATGTGTAGGTATTTGCTTATGTTCTAAAATTCATTTGCCTGTGATTTAAAAGATCTGCAAAGCTTTTTCAGGGAGTTATAGGGGATTTTTTTTTTCAACTTCTCCTAGGTACATAGGATTTCGAAGTCCAATGAGAGGACTGCATGATTAAATACAGTCATTTCCGATTTTTACATTAGCTTCCATCTGGATTGTGTTCACAAGACAATAGTTTGTTCTGCACCCACCTTTGGCAAGGGGTTCCAGATGTCCCTCTCTTCAAAGTGTAACGAGTAGGTGCTGGTGGTCATTTTCCCTCCCCAAACCTCGTTGGAGAAGACAATGCCTCTGCTGAGCTGGTGGGAGACCGGAGGGTCCCTCTGTCGCTGGCTTTAACACTCAGTATGGGAAGCTCAGACCCATCCAGCAACATGGTCCTGCTTGGAGCCCACCCCAGATGCCGCTTTCTCCCAAGTGTTAAATTAGACACATTAGGGCTGGGATTTATCTTCTTGATTCCTGTACGTGCCAGGTCACAGCTGGGGAGTTGGTACTGATGAGCTCTTCTCTGGCCTTTCTTTACCAGCTGTGGGCTGAGGCTGAAAACCCACTCCGGGAGATGCTGGAAGGCAGACCGGATATTGTCAGTCAAGGGTTTGGGGCCGTGGTGGACTCCTCGCGTTGGGGTGTTGTGATTTGGTTGCAGAGCAGGGCGGTGGCCTGGTGAGCACATGTTTGGGAAGAGGAGGTTGAGTGAGATGAGAGGCCAGCGCAGAGAGGGGTCTGCTGTGCTCCTTTATACGGGTCGTGCAGCCAGGAATGCTCATCATCTTTTATTACTAACTTTTGTGCATTTGGCTTATGGAATGTTTAGTGCTTTTTGGAATCCATCTGTTAGGCGTGTGTGTGTGTGGTGAACATTTTGCTTGGATGCTTCTGTGTGGACTTTATTTCTCACCATGGAGAGCCCTATTTGAAGCTGCCTACACTGCACTTTGTTATTCCTCATTTGAAACCTTGGTTAGTGTATATGCTTTTCTCATCTAGTTTTTATAAATACTAAAGAAAAAGTATTTTCTGGGCATAAATCCTTGGCTGATGTCAGGTGTAGTAGTAATTCAGTTTCCTCATTCTTTGAAATAAATTAGTCTTTGTAAATTGGAATACCTGAAGTTTCAATGCAAATTATATATTTCTACAATGTTACTTCTTATTTACCATCAATTAGGCATGAGATGATTATGTGTCTATATATTTATGTTTCAATTTCAAGCAACATACTATCAACATAGATAAAATTACTTACTTTCTATCAGGGAGTAAACCACTACTACCTCCCCCCTTTTTTTTTTCAATCCTCACCGGAGCGTATGCTTTTATTGATTTTAGAGAGAGAGAGCGGGGGGGGGGGGTATCCACTGGTTCTTGGCAACCAGGGTATGTGCCCTGACTGGGAATCAAACCTGTGACCTTTTTGGTGCACAGGAAGGGTCCAAACAGCTGAGCCACACTGGCCAGGGTGAAATTCCTTTTGAATCCTGATGTGTGGGTACTGTTTTCTCCATTTAATTGATGAACAGCCTTTAAACAATGTATTTAATTATATACCCAACTTCCTGTTCTAGGGAATTAGAAAGGTACAGTGATAAAGCTTTAGTCCTGAGGCATAGGGAATGTTATCTGTTTAAAAACATGGTAGTAGGCACCATGATAAACATATTTTATCTTGGGAGATTCTGGTTAGTCTTGGTCCTAGTCTAGACAATACTGTCAGTTGTGTGACCTTAGGTAAGTCACTTAACCTCTCTGGGTCCTAGCCTCTGAGTCTCATGATATCCAAGGTCCTTCCCTGTCCTGATTCTGTAGAGCTCTTCCAAACAAATATGTATTTTTGTTAGAAAAACATCCCCATTGTGTCAAGATTATTATAAGAAAGACACTTTTGCTGTGGCACCTGCTTTTAACTAAGATCAGAGGTAAGCAAAAGCTACCTGGCGAGATGCCAGAACCCAGGTGATGGCTGCTCACTTTTTCAATCTGTTTGACTCTCTCTGGCAGGAACTCCATGGGCAGAGACTGAAGCGTTCTCCATCGCCCCCTCACAGATTTCCGCGTGATCACTGTCTGCCTCTTGCACGCTTGCATCTGTCATACCCTCACCCCTCCCGTCGCCTGGCGGGAACTAGTCCCAGAGGAAGCAAAGACCATGACACATGTGTGTCTGTGTTCAGTTGCTCAGCCAGCACTTGCGCCCTGCGCTCCCAGGTGAGCCAGTGAGTCTCACTGAGCACCTCAGACCGCGGCCAGATTTTGTGCATCTGCGAGTCTGGGGCAGCCTACGGCCAGCACATGGGCTGGGCTGACCCATGAAAACCCAGGAGCCCTGCAGGGAACAAACTCCCAGCAAGCTGACCTGCAGGTGACACGTGTCATTGTAAAATGAAGTTTTTGTCCTAGTATCACTGAGTCCTCAGAAATAATCCTGTGCTCCCAGCAGAAATGGCTTTGTCTTAGAGCCCCTCGTTTTCGGGGAAGAGGTATTCCTACAGGGTCCTTCTCCTTCCCAGGGGCAGGTTCATGGCAGTGTGAGTGTGCGAGGAACGAGGGGGGTAGTTTTCCTCCTAGCCCATTCCCCTTTGCTGGCTAGTCCAAGTCCAGTGCCCCTGAACAGCTGTGCCGCGCGCATGGCCGCACACGGGCTTGCAGTGGCCTCACACAGGATCCCCCTCCTAGTCATTGTTCTGAGCGATTCTTTCACGAGGTCCCCGCAGTAACACAGAAATGCTGCCCCTCCCATCTAGTCTTGGGCACCCCCCTCCCCAGGACGTATGCTAGGCCCTACAAAGGAGATTGTAAACATTTCAGGAAACGGGAGCTTTTCCCGCCTCTTGCTCTCCTTAGGAGACCCCATTTCCAGACTCCGCGTTCCAGCGGCCCAGCGGCTTTGGGCTGGGGGCATGCACTGCAACCCAAATGCTGCAACTGTAAAATAATGATACAGTGTTTTGTAGCTGAAAAAAAAAAGTGAACTTTTTTCACTTGAGTCTACTCGCTGACACAGAATGATAGTGTCTGTTGAAAAGACGAGGGCCAGTTCCCTAGAAGGCTCAGCAACTCACTCTGGGTCAGTGGCTTTGAATCTCGACTGTCATTCGGGATAGGAAATACATTTAATTTTTCCCTGGTATGGACACAAACACCATCAGTACCTCCAGCCCCCCTCCATAACTGAAACAGTATTTGTTCTTACTCCTTGTGATGATCTGTTCTGTTTTCATTAAAAAAACGCTCATCATCCACTTGACTGAATGACTCATGAGCGGGTCGTGACCCACATTTGAAAGCCCTGCTCTGCGCCCCACATCTGCGCTGCAGGAGGAGAAGGAGCTCGGACCCTGCTGGGTTTCTCGGCAGATTCATTCACGGCCATGCTTTACATTCATGGTGACTTCAGATTTAATAAACATAGTTTTTCCCTCTTCATTGTAAGTCAGAGTCCATCTTTTTAAGTGCTATTTCTAATTAAAGATGGAACACCCTGGTTAGTTTGGTTCAGTGGTTAGAGCGTTGTCATGTGGACCAAAGGTTCAGCAGTTGGAGCGTTGTCATGTGGACCAAAGAGTTGCGGATTCGATTCCGGTCAAGGGCACATACCTCGGTTTCGGTTCGGTCCCCATCCCTGGTCGAGGTCATGTGGGAGGCAACCAGTTGATGTCTCTCTCACGTTGATGTTTCTCTCTCCCTCCCTCCCTCCCTCCCACTCTCTCTGAAGATAAATAGAGAAATATCTTCTGGTGAGGATCTGAAAAAATAAAAG